GGCCTATTTCTCTCTACTAATATCAAAATTCCACTAATATTTCAATTCTTTTACAAATTGTTCCACACGATATTACAGTCATTACAGAGCAGATGACAGAGTCTGACTGAAGAAGGAAGGTGCACACGAGGTTTTCTTGCTTTATTATGTTGGACTATACTATAAAAGCTTCAGCTACTATACAGAAGTCCAGAAAAAGGACTTAAGGGCAAGAAAACACAAGAAGAATTTTATTACATTCAAACGCAAGAATGATGATGAGACATAGAAGCAACTCAAGAAAGTGAAGCTACACCACAGCCTGCTAGAGCTCAGAAAACAGGAAAATAGATTTGAGTTGTATTTTACAAAGACATCAGAATACAAACGTAAATAGTCTAGTATGTAATTACATGAGAAGAAAGTGTTCAGGAATTGTTTTGGGGTTTTTTTTTTACCCCTTCAAAAAGTCAAAGGTTTTAAGGTAAAAGTTTTGGAGCAACTTCTCCTTAAAAAAACATTCTTTGCTTGCAGGAAGATTTGTATCTGCTTGACTAAAAGGCAAAAACATTGAGTGAATATTCTGAATCCTAGCAGACAGTAATTTGGTGTATATGGCAGTAAAAACAAACAACTAAAAACAAAAATAATGTAAAGATACCTCCTGCATTATTAAGAACATTAAGAACAATTACTGTTGTATTGAAACAATAAAAATGACATTCATATTGTTAGGTTTTGTGTTAGAAAGTTCATCTTCCCATGCAAAGGAGCACAGAGAAACAGTGACAGGTGGGGAAACCTTAATAATCCAATCAGAGAAAAAGGCTCCTGCTGTGGCACTTCCTAGAACTGTCCCAGGATATGGGACACTGTATGGGATACAGAAGAAAAGCACCCAGGGATTGCACAGAATGGGATGTTTAGGAGAAGAATCATAAGATGGAGAAAGGAAAAAAAAAAAAAATAAAAAAATCAAGATTGCTTGGGAAGGAGAAAGTATAGCACAACAGAAGGATAAATGGACACAAGGGACAAATAAGCTGCTTCTCAGCTGACTTGTCTAGCTATGACCTGCACTGTCCGCATCTTTTTACTTTATTCTGTGCACCCATGTATGGATGTACCAACAGCTGGACCACAGGTCACAGGAGTCCATGTCTTTGATACCAGCAAATAGAACAAATGAGGGTTCTGCATATTAGTGTGCAACTGCTAATGCATATCAAGCTGGACTACCCAGCAAGTAGATTAAGTCAAGCATATCTAATTTGTAGCCCATAGACCACGTGCAGCTCAGCACATCTTGCAACCCAGTCCAGCCCCTGAGTGTAACTACACATCAGTGTGCTAATAGTCCCATCTGGGCTGAAAAAAGGGCATGGGACACAGTGCAGTGCCAGCTCATGTTATAGCAAATAAGTTTATAGATTTTGATACACTGACTACACACAGTCCTGTAAACAGCAGGAAAATATGCAGCTATACTTTCTGTTTTGATAAAATAATGAGAATAGGTTTCAAAATAGTTAAACCAAAAGCTTGATGATTTTTTCATTTGCAACTGAAACAATACATGGTTTGTGCCCTAAGGCTGCTATACTTTTGCCTTGTTTTGTAACTGGATAGATACAAATCATGGAAGAAGTTCAGCAGAATAAGAAAAAACAGGGGAGTCTAATAATATTC